TAAGAAATCCCAGTTTTAGTTTTCCACAAACTACGGATGTGATTGGATCAAACATGAGTCAAACAAGGTTTTCTGGTCAGATGAGACCAAAACTGAACTTTTTTACCTGCATAAAATCCTGGAAACACCATCCTGGGATTGGGGATGCATGTTCCAAACAGAAAAATCTGGAAAGATGAAGCTGGGGCTGTCATAGACTTTGTAAGTAGGGGTGGAGGCTGAACTTTAGAAAAAACATCTGAGGATTAGTGAACTGATCTGCTTGGTTGTCCGTTGCAAACATCATGAAGCAATCTTGATATTTGGCAACCTGTAGACAGGACTCTTCATGTCTCTCCTCCTGCCTCTCCAGCATAAAAACTGAAACCTTTTCTTTTTGCAACTAACAGTTTTCTGACAGATTCTCCACTTCAAGCTTGGGATCTCTGCAGCTCCTCCAGAGTTACCACAAGCCTTTATATGAATTTTCTGATTAATAAACCATAAGATAAAGTAGATGAATGTCTGTGTGAGTTTAAAACTCTGATGCACTCTTACCATTTTTGTGTAAATGGGTGAGATGTTCACAATCAAATCTTCACAATCTTCTCCCCGACCTGTTTGTTGTGTTCCTTGCTCTTCATGTTACTAAATATCCTCTCATGTACCTCAATAGATTAGCTGTATCTGCTCTGATGGAACATTTAATCCACACTGATCTTTTTTATTTTGTTATATTGGAGTAAATCAGGTTAACAAATTAACGGTGCATTATGTTTGGTCTGTCATATATCAAACATACCAGTGAATATTGTTTCAATATAAATTTGATTACTTTTGCAAGGCTGTAAGAAACCAGAGTCAGGTCACTTTATATAAACAGTTGTGTAATTCCCCCCAGTGCTGACAGTTTTGGGCCATTTAGTGAATTCCTAAAGGCGGATTCATGATCAAGCGTCCATATCCTAATTTCTGACTAATTGGCTCCCAAAGTGATGCTGCTTGAGCTGCTGACGCACGTTGAGGTGCACCGATTGATCGCTCTGCTGAGCCCTGGCTGCCTCCTTTTGTTGATGACAGTGATGTTGACAATGGTGCCATACAGAACCAGTGAAATATGCAGGTTCTATGCAATGTAGAAGCATCAAGCTGTGCTGAGCATGTCTTTATTTTTATTTTAGACAAGCATATTTCCTCCATAGAAGCTGATTAATTCAAAACAAAGGGAGTTAAACTGACCTTTTAGGCTTTTTTAACCAGTTTTATATTTCCAGATTCAAATAGTAAGCTTTATAGCGCCCTCATGCGTTCAGCAAGGGTATATAAGGTTGTCTTCTCTGCCTCCTGATTAATTGGAGCATGACCTGCTTTCTGTGGATCTGACCCATGTCCAATAAGCAGCAAGCCAAGTTAAAAATCACACCTGTTCCCTCACTTCTGCTTTTCTGTGTTCAGTCAGTGGTCCTCCTCCCCATCAAAGGAGACATCTCTGCTCCTCCGAACCATATAGCCTCATAGCTCAGCATCCTGCAGCCTTTTGCATAGGATGATGGTTTATAGCTCCAACAGGGTTCACAAGGCTAAGCTGGGTTAATTATCTCTAAATCAAAAATGCATTTAATCCTCTCTGCTGGTCATAAACCAAAGTATGGGACTTTTTTTGCACATGATTGGGTTTGTCAGCTCAAGTCTCATCCTCTTTCTTCAGTTTATCTACTCCAAATGTTTCGCTCTGCTCTGCCCTGCAGGCTTCAAAGGGCTCGATCAGGCAGCAGACTGGAAAGTTCCCACTTGCTCTTTGAACAAAGATGATAAAATAATGACGTCAACAAATGAAAGGCCAAGCAAATTACTTGGAATCTAATCATACTTGAAATATACTGCTATGGTTTAATTCCCTGGATAGTTCAGTTTCTCTGGAGGGCCATAAATAAACTTTTTTGATTATTTTTATTGGCTACTTAGCAGCTGCATGGTAGACTTAAGCTTTTCTATCTGTATATTTCTTTTCAGGTGGTTTTTACCACTTTCCTTATTCTGGTTCTTGTGTTTTTTCTTTCTTTCAATAAAGATTTTAATTCAAAGTGGTTAGTTTTGGCGTGTAGTTTGTACATGTCCACTGCTCAAAAAGGTAGAGGGTATAGGTTGGACAGCTCAATCAAATTGTCTACTTAGGAACAAACACAGATTGACAATCAATTTCACATCCTGTTGTGCAAATGGAATAGAACACAAAAGGAAATTATCAGCAAGTAGCAAGACACTCAATAAAGGAGTTGTCGTGCAACTGGGTACCACACAGCACTTATCAGTACCTGTGCTTTCTGGCTGATGTTTTGGTTACGTTTGAATGTTGGTGGTGCTTTCACACTTGTAGCTTAGGTAGGATGGCACATCAATGCAAGTTGTGGTAAGAAGGTTTGCTGTGAGCACTGAGCAGATTTTACAGAGTATGGAGACACTGTGGGGAGCGATCTGCTGCCTGCACCATCCTTCAGCACGACCGGTTTGGCAGTAGGTCACTAATGATGCGAGGTGGCCTCCATGCGCTCGCCAGAGGTAGCATGACTGCCACTGGGTACCGAGATGAGATCCTCAGACCCCTTATCAGACCACACTGCAAAAAATCTAAATCTAGATAAGTCATTTTTTCTTAAAATAAGTGCATTTGTTTTTGAATTGAGGAGCTAAAAGAGACATTTTGCCAATGGAACAAGACAATTTACACTTAAAATAAGAAAACACAATTGCAATGTCTTATTTCAAGTGCATATTACCTAATTATCTTATTTTAAGACTAAAAATACTCATTCCATTGGCAAACTATCTCATTTACCTGTTGAAATTAAGGGTAAATTCACTTAATTTAAGACATTTTTTACTTATTTCTAGATCGTTTTTGCAGTGCATATGCTGGTGCGATTAGCCCTAGGTTCCTCCTAATGCTAGACCTCATGTGACTGTAGTGTGTCAGCAGCTCCTGCAAGATGAAGGCATTGAAGCCCATTCCCCAGACCTTAATCTGATTGAGCACATCTGGGACATCATGTATTGATCCATCCACCAACATCATGTTGCAGCACAGACTGTCTAGGAGTTGGTGAATGCTTTAGTCCAGATCTAGGAGGAGACCATCCACCACCTCATCCAGAGCATGTCCTGGTGTTGTAGGGAGCCTCATTTTGATCTGATTTAAGGACATGACATCAACATCGAATCTGTCTGTAGTGTGTTTTTCCAATTTTATTTTTTGCGCAAAATCCAGGCCTCCATAGCTTAATAAATTTTATTTCCATTGATGATTTTTGTTTTTTTGTCATCAGCACATTCAGCTTTGTACAGAACAAAGTCTTCAATAAGAATATTTTACTCGTACAGATCTAGGATATTTGAGTGTTCCCTATAGTTTTTAGAGCAGTAATTTAGTCATTTCCATAAGTTTAATACCTTTGTTTTTCTTTGTAATTTGTGTAACAAATACTGTTTAAAAACTTTTTCATAATAATACTTTTGTTTTACACATGAATTTCCAATTCTTTAAAGCATGTTTTTTTTTACATTGTTAAAGGTGTAAAACAATAATTTTAATGCGATGCAGTTTTTTGTTTAGTTCTTTTTTAGGGGAAATTATGAAACTGATCAGGTAAAGATAGCCGGTGCTGTACGCTGAGCTGGGATTTGTGAAAATGCTTTAAAACAAAAAGAATGTCTTGTTTCATAGATGAAACCACACTCCTCTGATGGATAGTGAAAATACACGTAGGGGAAATAATCTTGGTGATGTAACGATAGAAGTATTTCTAGGATGTTAAGAAAATTCCTGATTAATTTCATTGGAATTTCTCAATAAGTAAAATCAGATTTTACTTTATTTTCTTATCAGATTTGAGCCTGTTTATGTTTGTCAGTAACAGAGCAACCGTTCCTGGTAGAAAGAAAAGAGCAGTTTTCACTGTGTGTCTCATTAAAATCAAGCTGCATAGTAAAAACAGAATTATCCTGATGTGGCATTAAAATCCAATCTTTTTTTTTGTTTCATGGTTTTAAATTCAAGATTAAATCCTTTCAAAATTAAGTTAAAGTGACAGAAATATAACAGAACCATAACCAAGGTCAGATCAGAAGAGACAGAGGCTATTGTGTAGAAATAATATATTTCAGTCTGGTTGCTATTAGTATACAGTAGAGTAGAAAAAGATAAAGTAAGCATCACAAAAACAGACTGAAATATAAAAAAGGTAAAGTATTTAGTTGCACGTGATTAAAAACTATAGAACAGAACTGGAACTGGACTAAAACAGGGAAGGACCATTAATGTCGATAATAATAAAATAAACTGAATTTGGAAATAGAATAAACTATACAAGTGAATATAATTTATGGAAAACAGTTACGCACAATACATTTGAAAAAAAAAAGAAAACAAAAAGCTGAATTTCAGAAGAATGCAACATTAGAACAAAAGTAATTTAACCAAAACAGAACTGAACCCCCTTTTTTTTCTATTTCTAGTTATACAATACACAAAAACTATAAAATAAAAATACATAAAACGGTTTCACTTTAAAACTAAATGTAAAAATGTAAAATAAAAAAGACGTTTGTGTAAAATGTAAAAAAACATAACTATAATGTAGAAATTACAACATACTGAAATAAAGATTCAATAATGAAAGATAAAAAATACCTTCACATGTTACAAAAAGTAGATTTATTGAATGTTAAGCTAAAAATGTAAACATAAAAACAGGATGATGATAACTAATGTACCGCAATATCGGACCTCAAAGATGGATGCACAGACCTGGAAGCTTTTCAGCTCTCAGTTACTTTAATTATTGTTTAATTTTCTTTTATCAGTATTTTGCTCTTGATATATATTTTTATACACGTGTGTCTCTGTCTCTACTCAGAATAGAGGTATTACAGTGTTAGGTAAAATAAAGACCCAAATAAATCTAGCTGCAGTGCGAACTTCTGCCCGCTACGTGGCGCTGCAAAAAAACACAGTCAGACTGAAAGCTACCGTCAAAGAGACGTACTTCCGGTCGGCGGTAAAGCGTGCTGCTGCTGGTTCGAAGTGTAAACGTTACCGTAACGAAAATATTATTTTTACCTACTTTAGTGTAAAATTAATTATTGAAGCGGAATAAATATGGTGAGTAAACCTTTAGTGGTTTCGTTGAGCATTATCTATACCATGTAGGGTCGTTCCTGTTTGAGTTATTCCTTTTGTTTAGCATTAGCATCGTTAGCTTCCGAAAGCTAGTTATTCAAACAGATCGTTTAAGTTGCCATGTTTGCTCTGATAATTTAGTTATAATTTTAATCATTACCTTATTCTATTTATCTAGTCTATCGCAATAGGATTTTCTACCATGAGATGATAAATCACTAAATGATGTGTATTTCCACACTGATGGGTTTACTTCCAGAGGCCGAGAATCTCACACACACTTTATTTCTTAAGTTTTTCTATTTAAAAGTTGTTGATTAAACAGTTAGATGCCCCCCAAAGCGTCAAGCTAATTTCAACTTAGATTGCAAAGTACTTTATTAATATAGAAATATATTTATCTTAAAAAGTTGCATTGTCTAGCCCAAATTTCTCCACTGTGAGATCAATATAGTCAGTCAATCAAATGTATATAATAGACTACAGCTAAAAATAATAACTTGAAATACAACTTAAACATATTATCTACTTTTATTTAATAAAAATAGAACTCTAAACATTTATTTCACGTTTTTAAGATACTATGAATGACAAGTTTTATTTTTTTACTTCATAGATTGTATTCAGTTTATTTACAGGTTATAGTATAGTACTACAGTAGGAAGTTCATCTCCAAACAGAAAACAATGTTATTATTACTTCTGTTATAACTATTAGTTTCTTGTAAAGCAAACTTTGTGTATCTGTTTGATTTCCTGCAGAGTTTACCTTTGAATCCGAAGCCTTTCTTGAACGGCCTGACAGGGAAACCTGTGATGGTAAAGCTGAAGTGGGGGATGGAATATAAAGGCTACCTGGTGTCGGTGGACGGATACATGAACATGCAGGTGGGAAGATTTCCTTTCCTTAAACAAGTTAGAGTAACAGGGAAGCAGTAGTATAATTCTCTTAATCAAAACATTGCATCAAGTTTATGGCACACATCCCTGATTAGAGGAGAAGTTTTGCGTCATGTTTTATCCATGAAGGATTGTTCTTATCTACAGAACCAAAATATTGGATATTGGAGATTACAACAGAAATTGATGCAATCAACCGTTTAGCAGGAAAAAGGACATAATACCATTGTAACTTTTTTTCCTGCATTCAGTCACTTTTTGAAACAGAGTACCAGCTTTGTTTTCTGATAATAAAATATTTTAATCTTTGATTTATTCGCTTTTTTTTTTAAATTAACTCTTGTAAAAATGTTTTAATGTGCATTTAAATGGAGGGAGTGTTGGCCTAGCGGCAGGATTGGCGGCCTAGTGGTTAGGACATTGCGCTTGAAATCCAGAGCTTCTGAGTTTAAGCCCCACTCCCACAGACTGCCACTCTGGGTTCCTGAGCAGGGGGACCCAACACTGCTCCCCGGGCGCTGCATAATGGCAGCCCACTGCTCCCCAAGGGGATAAGTTAAATTCAGAGAGTTCGTTTAGTTGCTCTGTACCAGTAGCAGTGTAATGACATTAAAAGCAGGGGGAAAAATATTAATGACTTCAAGAGGTCAAGAAATGGGCAGCGTTAGCACCTGGCCAAACATTTTCTGTTTTATTACATATATTTAGAGTTTTTTTTGTTCGTTATTAGAAGTTTTAGATCATAGTTGATGAAGTCTGTTGACAATCAAGCTTCATGTGGATTAAAGATTTAAATATTTGTTTGTATCTTCACACTAATGCAACACAAAATAAAACACATTCAGAACTGTTTTCCTCCAAGTTTCGCTATAAACTGAAATATTAATATGTGTGTGTGTATATAGAATAGAGATTATTGAGAAAAACTATTAGACTATTACCTCAGAAAATTGTATAAGAGTAACATAATAGTGAAGAGTTAAGAATAAACAAATAAAATACTGTACTGTGAAGTGATTTAACACCTGTTCAAATTCAATGGAAATGTGTATTTATGCTAGGATTGTTTTGTCCTAAACCCCAGCAGGGGGTGCTTTAATATCATGTTTTGGTCATGATGCTATAGTAATTTTCTCTGTGAAAAAAAACAAAAAAACGGTGTGTGTTTATAAAATAAAGTGAGTTTTCACTTACAGAGCAGACATAAATTAACATTTTATTCTGGAATTTCTAGTAAGTTTTAATGTATGTAATTTATTTTACTTATCAGGAGCAGTGGTTAATACTTTTTAGTAAATCACATCTATATTTAACAAGGTTAAACTCTTAAATCATAAATAACAAGCTTCTGGGGGGGTCTGATCTCAACATCCAAGCAAGCTTTAATGTTTTCGTAGCTTCTCCTTGAAGGTTACTTATTTCTAATAAGTGTTTTATTACTGATGACTTTTAAAATAGTTGATGTGGCTCAGAAAAGGATTGTGGTTTTATATTTTCTCTCAGTTTTATCTTATCAAGACAGAACAGAGAAAACCAAACAAAAACACTGCTCCATTAATGGCTTTTTGACCTTTTCGTGCGTAATTTTCCTACAGTTGGCAAACACAGAAGAGTACGTCGATGGAGCATTGGCAGGGCATCTTGGTGAAGTGTTGATCAGGTATGTAAACCCTCTTTCTTCTTAAACTAATACTGCACACTGATTTGCTCTGATGAAAGATGTTTAAACAGGTTAAAATCACAGCATTTTATAGCGGTAAAACAATCTCTCCCTGAACATATGTCCGTAAAGGGTCATGTAACTTGTTTTGGTAGGTTGCTCCGATTAAATGTTCCTAAACGCACCCGTGTTTACGAGCAACTCCCGATTTGGGCTAATATCTCTTAGTCACACTTCAAAATCGAAAAGCTGAGAGAACCTGATATTCAAATGAGGCTAATTTATTTAACTTGGCTGCCAAAAAAATGGCTTCTACCTCAACAGGCAGAGTAGAACTTGTTTAAGATAACTTCTATGGCTAGTTGAGGACTCAGGGGTGTTGTGCCACCATTCACAGTGAGCAGGATGGTGATGGAGATGGGGAAAAAAGTGAACATCAGTAAAATAAAACTCATGAACTACAAGGCCTACAAATATACACACACACACACACACACACACATATATATATATATATATATATATATATATATATATATATATATATATATATAAAATACAAATATTGGCTAGCAATGACTATATCCATGGAAATAAATCTATTTTTTTTGCATTACTCTCCCTTATCATCCAATACTCTACTGGCCTTGAATACACAGGAATCATCTGTTAACAGAATGGGGGGAATTTTCCCAAAATTAAAAAAAGAACCGCCCTCTCTACTAAAAAAAAAACAAAAACGAAAACATGCACAACTCTGTACCCGCTTCCGAGAGCGAACGCCTATTAAACTCGTGCGAAAGCATGTACAGGCCCATTGCTCCTTGTTTTACCAGCAGTGATGAGGAAATTAATTTCTCCAAATAGCATGCCAGACTTTACCTGTTCGAGTAGAAACTTTGCCGAGGCATTAGTGGGAAGCCCAACATGTGCTTTCAGTGTATGCCATCGCATGGAAGAATCTCCCCAACTGGTCTTGTTTCTCTCTTCTGAGGCCTTTATCTTCTTATACACTTCATAAAAACGTTTTTCTCTTAAACCTTCGGCCATTTTTAAAGAGCCGCTGTGAGAAATTACTGAAAACAGTAGCTGACTACAGATATACGCCTGAAAGTGCACATGTGAGAAACACATCACCAGAATAATTGACAATAAGGAGGACCACTTATATTAATGATCCCCCTGAAAAGAAAACTCCCTCCCTCATACCTTTAAGACCAGACTCTTTCTGTCAGGCTGAAGAAAAATGTATCCAGAAACTTTTATTGGCAGTGCATTGCATGAAATCTCTTCCTAAAAGATAGTTACCAGATCAGATCATAAATGGTTCCTTAGACAAACCTGACCGTTTTTGGCCGTATCAGTATCCAGACTTGGCTTCTTCAATACTATATAGCTACCATGTTAATAATTACATGTGGTATGTGCAGGAAAAGCTGGTTTTGAATCGATGTTTTTTCCCCACAGGTGCAACAATGTTTTATACATCCGAGGCGTAGAAGAGGAGGAAGAAGATGGAGAAATGAGAGAGTGATGAAGATGATTTAAGTTTTTTATTTGGAACTGATGGTGGAGTTCATTTGTGTTTGTGTTTTCACCATGTGAAACCATTTCTGTTGTTCTCTTCTTTTTTTTTTTTTACTGAGTCCTGTTTGTATGTTGGGATGCAGACACAATAAAACGATTATTGTAACATTTGTAACAATGCAGATTTTGTGTCCTTTTTTCGTTTTTCTTTGTGAATCCCAGTTTGTTTAAGCAACGCCTCCCTCTTTGAGCTTTGACCTCTGCACTCTTGCACAAATATTTGACTTGTTTTCAGCCCAGAGTAGTCTGAGCATTGCTTTCAAAGAGTGAAAATGTCCAAAAATCACAAGCTGCTGGTGAAAAATGCCAAGCAGGTGGTTTTAATCTGCAGCAACGGGGAGAAGTACCTGACAAAGCATGGGATGAACAACCTGAGTGTGATTGAAAATGCTAGCCTTGTCATCGGAAGGTGAGATTTCACAACAAAAACTAAAACATTTGAATGCATTTCAGGTTTTCTCCAAAATGAGACCAGATTTTTAATGTTTCTCCTGTTATATCTAATAACATTTAACCAGATTTATCACAAGTGGCAGTAAAGTTTTATATATTATGCTGTTTTCCAACAATAGGTCTGCAGACTTTCTCAAGTTGCTCTCCAGGACTTTAGCTGCATGGCAGCAATTAATAAGAACAAAAATAGAATACTCTGGAAAAACTTGACATGGATCTTATTTATGTTTGTGATGATCTGCTGGATACCAGAGGAAAAAGCCTAGAGGGCTATTAACAAATACCACACTGCAAAAATGGTCTAGAAATAAGTAAAAATGTGTTAAATTAAGCGTATTTACCCTTCATTTTAGTAGGTAAATGGGACCATTTGCCAATGGAATGAGTATTTTTACTCTTAAAATAAGATTAGATAATTGTGCACTTGAAATAAGACAGTGCGGTTGCTTTTTCTTATTTTAAATGTAAATTGTCTTGTTCCATTAACAAAGTATCTCACTTACCTCCTCAATTCAAGAACAAATGCACTTATTTTAAGAAAAAATGACTTATTTAGGTTTAAATTTTTTGCAGGGCACTTCTGCTTTGCTTGGAAGCAATGTTGCATAATAAAGTGATGGTTAAAGACGTTTAAATATTTCACTTTGAGCCACAGCTGCTGTCTCTGAAAGTTAGCTTTACTGTAATTTGAGTCATTTCTCCGTGCAGGGATGGTCTCATTAAAGCAGTGGGTCCTGCAGAAACCATCCGAGCTCGCTTCTCTGAGTCCTCCTTTGATAAAGTGATCGATGCAGCAGGGATGTGTGTTCTACCTGGTGAGTATCTGCTGCGGCTTGGAGCATCCAGCTGACCATGCAGCCTTTGGACCTTGACCTGGAAAAAACATTCAGGCCTTTTTACAGTTTTCTTTTTATCATACATAAAAAGGGGTAGTTCAAATCTACAGGAAAAGTCATTTCTATTTTCTTTTTTTGTCCATATTGTATGTAAACATTTAATCTTGTGTAAGGTTTAGATCTGGTGCTCATAATAAAATGCATTATATTCACCTGAATAAAAAGCTTCAGGTAAACTTGAAGTCTGGATTATTCTAATTTTCTGGCCCGGTTTTGATTTCTCATCTGTTATGTGAAGAAAACTAAACCGGCTCTATTTGTATGTGATGAGGAGGGAAATAATTTTTACAACATAATTCATATGCAGTCTTTAAAAATATTGGAGGACCAAGGATCTTTATGTAGTTAAAGTGGAAAGAAAGATATATATTTATACCGGAATAAAATGTTTTCTTATATCTGCTATTCACTTAAAGGAGGATTAGAAACAGTATGATCCCTGATGCTAAGGTTAAACCCCTGCCTTGGTTGGAAAAAGAAATTAATGTTGATCCATTACTATTCATTTCTGCTCGAATCTCCTAAAATACCCATAAAAGCACTGAAACACTCGGTGCTCTGATGCTTGATGATAACCTCTAAATTATGCATGATATAAATTATAATTTAAAAAACCTATATTTAAATGTACCATCTCAGGCATGTTCCCCTGTGTTTGTATGTGGATAAGCTGTTCTAGTGCCCATCTTAGCGTAGGTAAGGAAAGGTGGAAGCTTCAGACTGTTCTGCTACCTTCTTCCTGAGCACCGAGCGGTTTTAGCTGCATTTATTTTGCTTTTTTTAATTTCTTGTTTCAGGACTTGTTGATGCTCACACTCATCCTGTCTGGGCTGGAGATAGAGTTCATGAATTTGCCATGAAGGTATTTAAACCGCTGAGTCTTCCCTCTTCTCTGAAGTGTTTTCTAAAGAAATCTTGATTAGGAACATTTGTGAAACACTGATTGTTTTAGTCACTGCTCCACTCTGTAAAAGCAGAGAACATTTTACTGAAAAGATTTGAGATGGAACTTTTGGTGTGGAAATTGCGAGTTTAAATAACTGCTGAACGTTTCCTGCTGCAGCTGGCTGGGGCCACCTACATGGAGGTGCACCGTGCCGGAGGAGGGATCCACTACACGGTGGAGCACACCAGAGCAGCAGCTGCCTTGGACCTCCTGACCTCTCTGAAGAGCAGATTGCAGAGGATGCAGCGAGCCGGAACAACCCTGGTGGAGTGTAAGAGCGGATACGGCCTGGAGCTCCAGACTGAGCTGAAGATGCTGGAGGTGATCGAGGAGGCGAGGAGCTCCCTTCCCATTAACATCTCCTCCACCTACTGTGGAGCCCATGCTGTGCCAAGGTAAGAAACCTCCTTCAACCTTTAAAAATCTGCCCACCAGCCTTCATTGGTTGTCTTCTTCAGAGGGAAGACGGCGGCAGAAGCTACAGAGGACATCTTGCAGGTTCAGCTTCCCCGACTGAAGGAGCTGATGTCTGCTGGGAGACTCCAGGTCAACAACATCGACGTGTTCTGCGAGCAGGGGGTGTTTGATCTGGAGTCGAGTCGCGCCATCCTACAGGCTGGGAAGGAAATGGGGCTCAACATCAATTTCCATGGAGACGAGCTGCATCCCATGAACTCTGCTGAGGTATTGCCCGTGCATAATGACCAAAGGTTAAGCTTTTTATTTTCTAAGAACTTTAAATTAGAAACTTTATCTCAGATGGGAGCAGAACTCGGGTCCTTGGCCATTAGTCATCTTGAGGAGGTTACAGATGAAGGGATTGTTGCCATGGCGAAAGCAAAAACTGCTGCCGTCCTCCTTCCGACCACAGCCTACATCCTGCGGTACTAAAACACACGCTGCCCCCCACCCCTCCCGGGGAACTGTGGCTTAATGGTATTTTGTGCTTGTAGGCTGCCTCAGCCCCGGGCCAGAGACATGCTGGATGCAGGAGTGATTGTTGCCCTCGGCAGCGACTTCAACCCCAACGCTTACTGCTGCTCTATGGTCACTTCTTTTTTATTTATTTTTTTCCTTCTGTCCTTTTCAGCCCTCTGTCTTCATATTAACTCCTCTGCATATATATATAACTTCCAGCCGGTAGTCATGCATCTTGCCTGCGTCAACATGAGGATGTCCATGACGGAGGCTTTGGCCGCAGCCACCATCAACGCTGCTTTCGCTCTCGGTCGCTCTGACACGCACGGATCCCTGGAGGTGAACAAACACGGCGACCTGCTGATCCTGAATGCAACACGGTAAATTTACCACCTCGGTTATTAACGGCTCTGCTCATTCACTGGAAAAACCACCTAGAAATAAGTAAAAATGTCTTAAATTAAGTGCATTTAACCTTAATTTGAGAAGGTAAATAAGATACTTTGCCAATGGAATGAGTATCTTCACTCTTAAAATAAGATAATTAGATAATATGCACTTGAAATAAGACAATGCAATTGTGTTTTCCATTGGCAAAATGTCTCTTTAACCTCCTTAATCCAAGAATAAATGAACTTATTTTAAGAAAAAATGACTTATCTAGATTTAATTTTTTTTCCAGTGTTCATCAGTGGATTCAACTTGTGCCTCAGGTTAACTTTGTTAAAATAAACATTAAGGCTGTTGCTTAATCTTAACACACTGAAAAAAGAACAATGCCAATCAATTCAGCCTCAATGTTAATCTTCTTGACTGTGCAAAGTGTTATTTTAGATCACCTTAAACTGACAGCTTTGAGGATTTTAATTTTCTAAGCTAACTAGGCAAGTTTCAGCTGTGACTTGTTTATTCTCCATACACTGCAAAACATTTATCTAAATCAGTAATTTTGTCTTAAAATAAGTGCATTTTTATTGAATTGAGGAGTTAACTGAGACACTTTGCATGGGTAGAAGACAATTTACATTTAAAATAAGAAATAATTGCATTGTCTTATTTCAAGTGCTCATTGTCTAATTATATTATTTCAAGGCTAAAGATTCTCATTCTTTTGGCAAATCATCTTATTGACCTACTCAAATTAAGGGTAAATGCACTTAATTTAAGAAATTTTTACTTATTTCTAGATCACTTGTGCAGCGTACAGCTTCTCCATGGAGGCAACAGGGCATTCAAGTCGCCTCTTAATCAACTGATTAGGGATCGACTCCAAAATACTTTCCAGCTTTTCCAAATTTACATTTCTTTCTCTTAGATCTCCACAGCCTTTGTAGGACTTTTCCACTTCTCTTAACCCATTTAGGCCGGGAAAGCATTACCGCATTTCTACCATTCAAGCCGGGGGCGCTGTTGCGTAATTCTACCATTGACGCCGGGAGAGCATATAAGTCAAGCAAGAAGAAAGAAATTTTTTTCAAGCAAACATGGAGGAGTTTGACAGAGAAGAGATGTCGGAAGGCAGTGATTTTGAGGAGTGTGTCGGCTTTGATGACGGCATAGATGAAAATGATGACTTTGAACGCGCTGAACCAATCGAACTACCACCGCAATGCACGGAGTGTTTAAACCGCACACCTGGAGTGAAAGTTGATTTGCCTGCAGACACCACACCGCTGCAGGCATTTGAGCATATTTTTAATGAAGAACTTTGGATGCATCTTGTTACCGAGACGAATAGGTACAGTGACCAAACAAACCAAACTCCAACAAGAGCAAAGATGGCAAAGTGGTCACCCGTGACTGTGACGGAGATGAAGACATTTATTGGGCTGTGTATGGGCATAGGACTTCTTGTGTTGCCAGTAGGCTACGAAGAGATTATTGGCGACAGAGTAAACCTCTCTTCAGGACGCAGTTCCCCCAAAATATGTCCCGGGACAGATTTGTGGCCATCTGGAGGTAAGTTGTATGCAATTTATAACACAGACATATGCATTATTATGCATAATAATACTGTTAATAAGTAATCATCAGATAGTTATTTATGTAATGTTTGTTCTTTATTTTAAAAACGTTTTATATTGCACATTCTCAATGAAGACATGATCACATATGGAAAAAATAAAGGTTGAATTTTTTATTTTTTTATTACTGCTTTTCACTTTTTTTTTTGGAAGAATTTCAAAGATAAAATATATTTTGAGTTCTATCTGCTACAGAAGCTGAGATATCAATAATTTACTAGGCGTTGACACAGTTGCTGAATTTACAGAAAAACTTCAGGTTTTAGGGGTATTTTTTAAAATCGGCCATAGGTTTTTAAGGTGTTTTTTCCAGGCGTTTTAGGCCTAAATGGGTTAATATTGCTCAGTCTGATTGACATCAAATTAATCATTTTCTTTTTACCAATGAGAATCTGCTTGCTGCTGTTAGGCGCATGAAGAGAGGTTGTTGGATTGGTTTTGTATTTATACTCTGGAAATGTTGACTTATTTATTTTCTAGATGGTTTTTGAAGCATTTATACTTACTGTTTGAAGGTGGGAGCACCTGATTTACCAGCTGGGGGGACACCAGGAAACCATCCGATATGTGATCATCAAAGGGAACATCGTGTACGATAACGACAAAACACTGGACCTCTAACACTAAAGAAGTAATAATAAAGGTATGTCTAAAAGAATATTAAAGCCAGATATCCTCCCAGCTAGAAATGTGTTTTTCTCTTCCAGGTTAAATATTATTTTTCTTTATAGTCGAGCTCAAAGCTGCTTTAAAAAAAGGGTTGCAGGGTCTTCTAAAACACACTAAATAATCTTGATGCTCCTCAGGTGATTAAACAGATAATTGTGATGAAGTTATCTATGAAACTAAGGAAACAGAGACAAACCATTCAGTTGTTGAATATCAAACTTTAATGAACATGTTAGCTGATTTCCACAGGCAGGGCTTTTAACCGTCAGACATCATCTCAATATTTTCATTCAAAGCTTATTAATAAAAAAACAAACAAAAAACTATTTTAATTGGTATTTAACATAATTGAGTGCATAATAAAAATAAAAAAGTAACAGTGGCACACAGATAAGCTAGAGAAGGTTTGGTACCTAAGGTAATCTGGAACAAATGTGAATCCTCTCAGGCTTGGTATTTCTTTCCTGCTCGATGGATCTGTTGGTAAAGCGTCATGGAGAAAGCCATCCCCAGCAGCTGAAAGACAACAGTTTTCCATTAAATCTCTAAGCAGTACAGAGGAAATCGCTTTATATACAAATATCTAAAGCAGTGAGTGTGTCAGAAAACATGTGCTCACCTGTACGACCAACACACACATGGCGATGGTCCCCAGCAGGTGTTTGTTGTCATCCACCCACTGCTCCATCTTGTCATAGCAGCCCTGAGCACAGAAAGTTTTCACTTAGACAAACCTAATTATTTTTTTGTAACTTGTTCTCTCTTCTTGGTGAAACTGGACCAAAACCAAACTTCATCAGCAGCTGGAGGTCTAAGGAGCCCAAATGTACAACAAGAAGTATGCCAGAAGCTTTTTAATATTTCCAAAAGTTCTCTGGATATTTGGAAGAGAACATGTAATTAAACGGGATCATTGGACTGTCCTGCAGGGATCCAGTGGGTCGGGACTTCTTAACCAGCACACTGATGGGGTTAAATCTGTCATAATCCTGCTCCAACACACCTGAATTGAAATATAGCTTATTACATGACCTCTGCAGGACCTTAATGATATTTTAAAAAAACAATGTAGTGTATGATTAATTCTACTGCTATGTACTTAAATTGTTGCCTGTAAAAAATTTATAAAAAATCGATTTAATGTTTAAACTGTTCTAATAAATAATTTAAACAATATTCTTTCCATTGGATTAATATTCATTTGTAAAAAGAAAATCCCTGTAAATAAAAACTGACGTCAGGAATATCTACTCCGTCTTTGTGGTTCATTTTAGTCATCGGCTAAACATTGTCCTGACTCACATGTGTCCAGGAGTTTGTCATGTTCTGTCCGCAGTTGAGAAAAACCTGCTGGCAGCAGCTGTCTGGCACAATGTTGTCCTGCATGACGCTCGACCAGTCGCCGCGATTTGTCACACCGCAGCACTTCCACTGTTTGAAAGAGGAGAGAGTTAGAATTAAACTGCTAGGATGAAACAAAAAGCTCAGATATGTGAGGAAATCTACCTCTGTCTGTATGGTGTTCCATGCGTCCCTTAGGCCTGCGTTGTTCTCTGTGTTGTAGAGCACAAGTCCCTCTTTCAGGTCCTGCCGGGCATTTTCCCTCACCTAGGAATTTAAATGGGGTTGGGAGGGTTATTGGATGTATGTATCTCTATCTTAAACAACTATAATAGGAATTAAGTTTTACCTTGTCTCTGTACACGAAGAAGAGGATGAGGAGAATCAGTTCAGCCAATAGGATGATGAGCAGAACAATGAAGAACTGTTTAAAAAAGACAAAACAGTAGAAGTCAAGTGGTTAAAGACACTGTGCATTGGATTCTGTGGTCATGAGTTTAAAACTGTTAAAGGCAGAGTGGGGGGCTGTTAGAGTATTTATATTAGGCAAGGTAGATCTCAGAAAAAATAGACTTAAGTTGAAAACCGATGCTTAAAAAGACTGATAATACAACCCCATAACTAAAACCTGATTGATGACGAATACTGACTATAAACTAGGGGCACAGAACCTTGGGTTTCCACTAATCTAATAGGTAGATTTAATAAAGTTCTTATAGAGGGTATTATTATTTTAATTTGGAGACCAAATCCAATGGGGTATATGTGTATGTAAATGTATATTTCATTATTATATTTTGTCCTGAGGTGGTTTACTTTTAAATGTAGAATAATTAGCAAAATACACTAAAATGTATACATAGATTTATTTGTTTCACAGGTGGGTTTGGCGGCACTTCATTGCAATGTTAGTTAGCCCATGTCAGGATTGGCAACACAAATATTTATTGGATTTATAGCCTTATGTTGATATTAAAAATCAGATTTTTTGCGGTTTATTTTCAAATTAATCAAGAAATATGGGACAGCCTCAAGGCGAAAGAGTTTTCACCCAAGTGGGACCATTTCAACCTCATATTTGTTTTAATCATCCCGTTCCTCTCAGTTATCATCACTCAACTTATTTCAATTTAAACCAATACATAAAATAATGTATTGTAGCCAACAACGGCTTAATTCATATTATAGGTCTTCAAATCAGTGTCAGTTTAGTAGTGATTTTAAATGCCCAGCAGGTGTCAGTATTGAGTGACACAATATCAATAGTTTGCCAATGAGTGGAAACATTTCATGACGCCTCATGAACCCGTCACTAGTTGACACTGCTCAATTTAAAGAGATGATATGGAACAATTTTTTCTAATTTATCACTATCAGGCATTAAAATTGAGGACATTTCCAGGGACAGGTGGTCCAAAACTGAGACATGTAGTCAGTGTTAAATCAAAATTAATTGGATTTCTCCTAAATGTGTGTTTGAGTGCTCAATTGAGATGATCTAGGAATAATTTATGAAAAGGCTATGGGGTAAAAAAACAAAAAGTTTTTAGCAAAAAGCTATACACGGTGAGATTTCAGAGGCACTGGAGTTACTTCATTCAGTTTTCAGGCAATTTAATAACTTTCATATAATGAAAGTTGTTAAATACACCAGAGTTATGAAATACAGCAGAGAAGTCAAGGCTGCTCCGCTATGCAGCACAGCTTAATGGGAGCTATTTAGGTGATAACCAAAGCAATATAATGAGTGTTTATATTAGCAAAAAGAACCCTATGTAGTGCATTCTGCATCCTTATCACTATGGGTGCACAACAGAGCCCTCTAGTGTAAACATTTTATTGACAATCTGATCACTTGTATCACTGTCTACTCACACTTAGCAACAGGCACTTGTTCTCCTTGATGGCACCCAGGCAGCCAAGGAAGCCCGTCACCATGACGACAGTACCCAGGGTGATGATGAGATTGGCAGCAGAGAGCGAGGGGAAGGAGGGAGACAGCGTGGCAAAGCTGCCCTGGGAAACCGAAAGCCAAACTCCGACACCCAACAAGCCACAGCCGCCCAGCTGAAAATACCAGGAAACCAGAAAACATCCTGCTGATTTCATGATAAAAAAAAATACTTTGATTGCTTTGATGAAATCGCTACTAGAGCTACTTGGGGCGTACCCAGAAGAAGAGGTTGAAGAGGAAGAGCATGTACTTCACACAGCAAATGCAACCGCGAGCCATGACTGAACACAAAAGGATCTACAAAAAAAAAAAAAAAAAAATACAAACGACACAAATAGGCAGACGTGATGCAGTTATTATCTGTTTTTTTTTTTTCATTTAACCAACGCCACCGAGTTCCAACACTGTCTGAAAAATCTTTCATAACTAATAATTCTGCTATTTTCACTAATATAGAACATTGATATACATGTCTCATTAAAGGGTCCTATTTATCAGTAAACAAAGGCGATAAACCCACCACTTCGGGAAGAAAAACTCAGCAGCTCTGTCAGCGTTTCTAAAAAAAAGAAAAGAAAAATAGATCAAATTTGAGGATTTTCAGTAAAGTTTACAAGAAGCAGAACTGCTCTAAGGTAAAGCCTAAAAACACATTTCAAATTGTCTTCCTTTTTTTGTCAATACATAAAAAAATATGTATCCAAATAACTCACTGGAGGAAGGGAGGACATTTGCTAATCCAACAAGGATTACCGCACTTATTTTACAACTGCATCAGTAAAGAAAGTATAATTTTTTTTTTTTAAATCAAACTTAACAATCTAGTCTCTCACACCTATAGCTATGTACCTTTCATATTATAACATTGATGTAAAAAAAAACAACAAAGTTTGAGACTTCTCTATATATTTATATATAGTTTTTAAATTATTTTACTTAAATACATTATGCAATATAACTGTGTGTTTTTTTAAAAATGGGATTATAAAAGTTCTTCCCTAAACTTCAGGTACTTTAGATACTGAGCTATGATGAAAACCAGCATGAAACCTAGTAATTCCTATAACATACAGGGAGGAAGGTTTATATATTTTCAATGATGCTCAGTTAAACGTGAGTCAAATTTAAATGGTTTGACTAAATGTAAGTGGAAAAAATTGTTCTTGCTGTATTTAATCATGCATGTACCTTCTTTACTGTACAAAGATATAGCAACCATTCATAACAGTGCATACTTTGCAAGAGTGATACGCCCTTCAGATAAGATATAGGTAAGTAAAAGTCAGGCTGCAAATCCTAGAAAGTAACTTGCACCTTTCTAATGTTAGAGTATAAACAGTCAGATCAAAATCCACTGAATTATACAACCTGGTCTTAAAAGCCACATATAGTTATAGTTTGGGAAAATACACTCAAAAAAAGTACCTGGATACAAGTCTGCCAGCCACATCTTAGTTTCTTAAAGGAGAATTCCGGTTTTTAACACTTTTAGCCCATTTTCTGTAGTGTCCAGGATGAAATCGAATGATCGACACCAAAATTTTGACAATTGGTCCTGTCTCTGCTTTTTGGCTCATGCAGAATCACCCCCTGGCTGCTTCAGAATGGCTTCCATTGTGCATGTCTGATAATGTCCTTAAAACAACCTTAAACGTTCTTTTTTTAAAATATGCTACTCACCGGGTCGTCAGCGCTGTTCAATGACGTTCCAAAAAAAGTTTCGTAAAGAAAAAACGTTCCTGTAGTGTTTTATTTAGCATTTTGTAAATCCCATTGAGTTCTGTTGGAATAGTCAATATCCCTCCGCCACCGGAAACGGAAATGGGGCCTGTTTACACAGTCGTAGTCTTTTCGCAAGGCCCAAGTGTTTATGCTTCACTCTGTGTACTCCGACGTCGAGGTGCTAACGTCTCTGTTAAACACTTTAAAAAACTCTGAAAATGGAATACGAAAGGTGGATTCTTGAGGAGGACATATTCATATACATTCCCAAAGTATAGAGACATTGTCGCCAACTAGTGGTCTGGAGTGTGCAACGCTTCAGATTCGAACGGGAAGCGGAAGTTTATAAGCGGTTGAGATGTATCGGAAAAAATAGTTCTGGGATTTACAAAATGCTAAATAAAACAAGACAGGAAAGGTTTTTCTTCACGAAACTTTTTTTGGAACGTCATTGAACAGCGCTGACGACCCGGTGAGTAGCATATTTTAAAAAAAGAACGTTTAAGGTTGTTTTAAGGACATTATCGGACATGCACAATGGAAGCCATTCTGAAGCAGCCAGGGGGTGATTCTGCATGAGCCAAAAAGCAGAGACAGGACCAATTGTCAAAATTTTGGTGTCGATCATTCGATTTCATCCTGGACACTACAGAAAATGGGCTAAAAGTGTTAAAAACCGGAATTCTCCTTTAAAGCAAACCATATTATTTTTAGAAGACTAATGCCACAACAGACCAGATATGCTTATAATTTTAGCAGCCATGTTTCTACACAAAGGACTACATTACAGTATCTTCTAATGTAGTTTGTTATCTTGCAACAAACTTGCTTGAATCTCAGTTTTAAAGCCTAAAGATGAAATCAAATGAAAAAGGTTAAAGCAAATTAGAAACATTGTGTAAGAACAAAAAAAAAAAAAAAATGAAATAAAATAAAAAAATAAAGAAAGCTGATTTTTTTAAATTGTATTTGTCCATTTCTGTTCAATCCTTAAAACTTCACTTGCAAAGACTGATATTACATACTGCCATTATTTTTTTTAAGTAACAGGTAAAACAGCAAACATGTCTGATATATTATTTAATAAAGTGAGAAACTTTTTCCATTTAATAAGTGTTAATTTACTATATTTTGTATGTTTATTCTTTTTTTTTTTTTTCTTGATGAAAAGTACGGTTTTAAATAAACCCATGGACTCTCTTATCGTGACGTCATCACGTACCCCTTCAGATTTCTTCTCAAAAGTTTTGGCAAATAATCAACACGGACTTGGCAAACACGGCTCAAAGCACTTCGGTCCCGACTTCTGTTTATAAATACGTTAACATATACTTCATATGTTTTCCCAAAAGCACCATAACCGCTTTGTATCGCCTCAGGCCGTGTTTGCTTTCATCTCCATGCAGCTAAAAAAAAAAAGTGACGAAGGAAAACAGGGAAAAAATCTCACCATTAGCTATGAACTGGTGTCCATTTTCCCGTTTAAAGTCTCGCGTGTTTAAGTGTGCAAAGCATCACATTCTGTTACGCCGAAATCCCTGGAGTCGGTTTCGAAGTACAAATTCAGTTACTGTGAACTACGATGGTAGTTTTGGAAATCCGTCGACGGCTGGGAATGAGGAGAGAGACGTTTTCCCTGGAGGGCGGAGCTTCACGGGAGGCCAGTGTCCAAGGGGGGAACGGTCCGCTCCCTGACAGTCAGCCGGCGTGCGACCCGGCGGCTACTGAAGCGTTTTTTCTTTTCATTAAATCTAGAAGATTCACCTCTGCTACCTGGTCTTAAATAACTACAGGTGCTGGTCATAAAATTAGAATATCATGAAAAAGTAGATTGATTTCAGTAATTCCATTTAAAAAGTGAAACTTGTATATTATATTCATACATTACATACAAACTCATATATTTCAGATGTTTATTTTGTTTAATTTTGATGATTACAAATGACAACAAATGAAAATCTCAAATTCATCATATCAGAAAATTAGAATATTACTGAAGACCAATAAGAACAAAGGATTTATAGAAATGTTGGCCAACTGAAAAGTATGAACATGAAAAGTATGAGCATGTACAGCACTCAGTATTTAGTTGGGCCTCCTTTGGCCTGTATTACTGCAGCAATGCGGCGTGGCATGGAGTCGATCAGTCTGTGGCACTGCTCAGGTGTTATGATAGCCCAGGTTGCTCTAATAGTGGCTTTTAGCTCTTCTGAATTGTTGGGTCTGGTGTATTGCATCTTCTTCTTCACAATACCCCATAGATTTTCTATGGGGTTAAGGTCAGGAGAGTTTGCTGGCCAATTAAGAACAGGGATACCATGGTCCTTCAACCAGGTACTGGTAGCTTTGGCACTGTGTGCAGGTGCCAAGTCCTGTTGGAAAATGAAATCTGCATCTCCAAAAAGTTGGTCAGCTGCAGGAAGCATGAAGTGCTCTAAAACTTCCTGGTATGTGGCTGCGTTGACCCTGGACCTCAGAAAACACAATGGACCAACACCAGCAGATGACATGGCACCCCAAACCATCACTGACTGTGGAAACTTTACACTGGACTTCAAGCAACTTGGATGAAGTGCCTCTCTTCTTTTCCTCCAGACTCTGGGACCTTGATTTCCAAAGGAAATGCAAAATTTACTTTCATCAGAGAACATGACTTTGGACCACTCACCAGCAGTCCAGTCCTGTTTCTCTTTAGACGCTTCTGACGCTGTCTGTGGTTCAAGAGTGGCTTGACACAAGGAATGCGACAGCAGAAACCCATGTCTTTCATACGTCTGTGTGTGGTGGTTCTTGAAGCACTCACTCCAGCTGCAGTCCACTCTTTGTGAATCTCCCCCACATTTTTGAAGGGGTTTTGTTTCACAATCCTCTCCAGGGTGCGGTTATCTCTCTTGCTTGTACACTTTTTTCGACCACATCTTTTCCTTCCCTTCGCCTCTCTATTAATGTGCTTGGACACTGAGCTCTGTGAACAGCCAGCCTCTTTAGCGATGACCTTTTGTGTCTTGCCCTCCTTGTGCAAGGTGTCGATGGTCGTCTTTTGGACAACTGTCAAGTCAGCAGTCTTCCCCATGATTGTGTAGCCTATAGAACTAGACTGAAAGACCATTTAAAGGCTTTTGCAGGTGGTTTGAGTTAATTAGCTGATTAGAGTGTGGCACCAGGGGCCATCAATTTTGAACCTTTTCACAATATTCTAATTTTCTGATATGATGAATTTGAGATTTTCATTTGTTGTCATTTGTAATCATCAAAATTAAACAAAATAAACATCTGAAATATATGAGTTTGTATGTAATGTATGAATATAATATACAAGTTTCACTTTTTAAATGGAATTACTGAAATCAATCTACTTTTTCATGATATTCTAATTTTATGACCAGCACCTGTACATTTCTACAGATTGTAACATGTGCAACAGATAAACTTAATTCAAACAGATCAAACGCTGGCTTACTCGAACTTATAATAAAAATAAAACTAGTTATATTGGGACTGCAGCAGAGGCGTAGCAAGAAAATCCTAATAGGGGTGGCCGAAAGGTGTAGTGGACAAAATTCTTTCAGATTTGAGTTCTGGGGTGAACATATTTTACATTGTCATTAACTACTTTTATCAATAATCATTCTGCAAAAAAAAAAAAAAAAAAAATCAAACAACATTTAATGATTTTTTTAAAGTTATTATTAAAGTAGTTTATCTATGATTTCGCTGAAGACACCTAGATGACTTGCAGAGGTACATCATTTCAACTTTACCTAAAATAATTCAAAATTTAATTCTGAAAATAGCATAAATTCTGTATCCATCATCTTTAATGTTTGGATATTGATCTGCATAATTAACCGCAGTGTTTCTGTTGTCAGGTAGTTGTAAATATATGAAAATTGAAATGTTAAATAAGTTTGAATATTCCCCTTCAGAATATTACTGCTGCCATCGTCTGTATTAGAGGGGAAAAAATGATAGGGGTGGCCAATGATTGGCTAAGGATGGCCATGGCCACCCCTGGCCCCCCATCTAGCTCCGCCCCTGGACTGCAGGAAGGTAAATTCTTAATACATTTATTTATAAATCTTGCAGTTTGTTTTGACTGAAAATGGGATCGATACTACCTTTTGGCAACCACCAAATCCAAATAAAAATTATTGATGTTGAATGATTTAATTGAATTGAATGTGTAAAGCACCTCCATGTGTGTTGTGAATAGACGTTGTATTTATGAAATTAATCTAATTAAATACTTACATTAATAAAATAGTAAAAATACTTTCAAACTTCCTAAATTTCCGATTTTATCAGGAAAATCGTCATTTAGGATATGAAACGCCTATAGTAAATTTCAGGGTACGTTTTATTATAATTAGAGATATCTATTTTTTATCTAATGAATCTATAGGAAAACTCCGGAAATTACTTTAGATATAAAATTATTACATACTGTTCAATAAATGATAAGTGTTTTTAAATTAAGAGTAATTTAATATGAATTGGTTTTACTGGAGGCATCCATGTTTGTCAAAGAACACTACTGCCGCCTACCGGTTTGTGATGTCACGGTGCGGTATCGGCTGTTGAGCAAGTCACAATGCTCTATCTGGTGTTTGTCACAACGCGATATTTTCCAAGTCATCTTGAAAACATTATTCGAAATGTTTGTTACATATTACGTGTTTTTTCTTTGGCCAGAAGTTCGATGGAAAATCCTCCCTCTTCAATCTAGCAATCCCGACGACGAACCCGTCCATGATGGATCATGAATCAGAAAGGTGAAATAACAATTTGTTTTTCACTTTTACCTGATGCATTACAACATGCAACTGCCATGCACATGGGCATTTTCAGTTTACCTATAGCTCACATTTCAATGGTGAAGTCCTCTTGAAATCTTCTATACTTGTTGATTGAAGATGTGTCTAGTAGTTCCCACTGATTTTGCTTGTCAACTGGGGAGAATGGTGCTCGTCTTACTGTATCATGACCTTATTTCCGGAAGATGTCAGGAGCGAGGTCTTACTATATTTGGGCCAAAAGTGATGGCAACGTAAATTATTACTTTTTTACAGGTTAAATTCAATCACCGAAAACATATTAGTTTTAGGTATAGATAATGATCCATTGATTATTCCTTGCTGATCTGACTTTTCCTTTAAAAGAAACATAAGAGCTTCCGGAGGCTAGTTGTTTTAATTATAAAATAATAAATAGTATAGTAAGACCTCAAAACATGTCTAAAATAAGTCATATTATGGTATTTACATTAAAAATAGGCTAAAATGAGTCAGAGTATAGTATGATTGGCAAAAACAAGTCTAAGTATAGCGTGATCTAAAAAATGTGCTAAAAAGACAGTTTTGTATGACCTCAAAAAAATTCTAAAACAAGTCATATTATGGTATGACATCCAAAAAAGGCTAAAATGAGTCATAGTATAGTATGACCTCAAAAATTGGCTAAAACAAGTCATAGTATAGTATGACATCAGAATTAGGCTAAAACAAGTCATAGTACAGTATGACCTCAAAAATTGGCTAGAACGAGTCATAGTATAGTATGACCTCAAAAATTGGCTAAAACAAGTCATAGTATAGTATGACCTCAAAAACGTGCTGAAAAGACAAATTGTATAGTGTGACCTCAAAAATTGTCTCAAATGAGTCATTGTATAGTATAACATCAGAATTAAGTTGAAACGTGTCATAGTATAGTATGACCTAAATATTTGGCTTAAACGAGTCATAGTATAGGATGACATCAGAAATAAGCTGGAACAAATCATAGTATGGTATGACCTAAATATTTGGCTAAAATGAGTCATAGTATACTATAATGTCAGAAACAGGCTAAAACGAGTAATAGTATAGTATGATCTAAAACAATTCCTAAAAAGAGTCAAAGTATAGCATTATGTCAGAATAAGGCTAAAATGAGTCTCAGTATAGTATGACCTCCATAATTGGCTAAATTAGTCATAATATAGCATGACATCAGAATTAGGCTACAACAAGCCATAGTATAGTGTGATCTCAAAAATGTACTAAAAAGACACATAGTATAGTATGACCTAAATATTTGGCTTAAACGAGTCATAGTATAGGATGACATCAGAAATAGGCTGGAACAATTCATAGTATAGTATGACCTAAATAATTGGCTAAAATGAGTCATAGTATGGCATGACCTAAATAATTGGCTAAAATGAGTCTGTCATGTTCTCCCCTTTTGGAACTCTGAATTTTTAGTTATTCTGTTTTGTTGATCTTTGGTTTATTTTCGATTATATTCAAGCAGTCTTTAGTTACTTTCTGTTGCCCCCTTGTACGTGTTTCCTTTCCCCTTGGCTTCCTTCTAGTTAATTTCACTCACACCTGCTCATTATTCTGCTCATTAGTCCACCTTTGTTCTGCTTCCCTTACATACTCCACCTCTGCAGTCACTCAGTGCTGGTTCCTTGTTCCTGCATCTCTGGCTTCCCAAGAGAGGTTTCCCTGATGCTTTCTGGATTTTTGCGTCTTAGTATTTTTGGATTTTTGTTTTTCTGCCTCTGTTTTTTTTCAGTACATCTACAAGATTCACCTCTGCCTCCTGGTCTTTGCATTTGGGTCCTCAAACAACCTCCATACTAATCATGGCAGAAGGAACCAG